TAGAGGGTATAGGAGGAAGAGAAGACAGTCTCGTCAGTCATTAATGCAGAAAGAACAGATTCACGAAGCTGTTACGCAAGCACTTACAAACCTGGGGCCAGATTCACGAAGCAGTTACGAACCTGGGGCCAGATTTACGAAGTAGTTACGCAAGCACTTACGAACCTGGGACCAGATTCACGAAGCACTTACCAACCTGGGGCCAGATTCACGAAGCAGTTACGCAAGCACTTACGAACCTGAACATCTTTTCTCAATATTTGGCGACTATGTTTACAATTATTAAACAGTTAATGAGCTCCGAAGCACCAGGAGGCTGTTTATAACACTAACAACAGTTGATGGGCAAGTTTTCATGCTTGTGAACTGTTTAATAAATGTAACCAAAGCTGTCAAAAATTGAAGAAAGATGTACACGTTCGTAAGTGCTTGCGTAACTGCTTCGTGAATCTGGGCCCTGGGAGTGGACTTGACCCCCAAATCTGATGCCAGAATCCTACATTAGGAGAATAACAGGCCCATATGACCAACGTCCGGCTATCCTTTAGATACTTGGACAAATGGGTTGTCTGGACATTATATACAGCGAAGGTGAGACCCACTCTTGAATATGCAGCCCCAGCACGGAACCCTTACCTGAAGAACGACAAGGAGAAACTCAAAAAAGGTCCAAAGATATGCAACGAGACTCGTTCCTGAGCTGAACGGATTGAACTATGAGAAAAGACTGAGATAACTGGAGTTTAATAAGACACTGGAGGTAAGGAGAGATAGGGAGGACATGATAACAACATACAAGATTGACAAGGCGGAAGAGCAGCGTTCTTCAAAGCTAGGAACAGCAGGACGAAGGGCCATAGTTGGAAACTCGTGACACAAATAAGTTACAGGGACGTCAGAAAGAACTGTTTTAGCGTTAGAGCCGTCGACCAGGAGGCCTGGTCGACGACCGGGCCGCGGGGACGCTAAGCCCCGGAAGCACCTCAAGGTAGGTCAATAAGTGGAATAGGTTAGTTGCAGAAGTCGTTGAGGCTAGGTCGGTTCAAAGCTTTTAGTGTCAATATGATCAATGCCTGTGGCATGAGTCGCTGCCTTAATCTAAACGTTTGGAAGGCGGGGCCAGGAGCCTAACTCGACCCTGAAAGTACATCAAGGTGACCATACACACTATCAGTCTCGCCCTCTCTCTCTCTCTCTCTCTCTCTCTCTCTCTCTCTCTCTCTCTCTCTCTCTCTCTCTCTCTCTCTCTCTCTCTCTCTCTCTCTCTCTCTCTCTCTCTCTCTCTCTGTCTGTCTGTCTGTCTCTCTGTCTCTCTCTGTCTGTCTGTCTCTCTCTCTCTCTCTCTCTCTCTCTCTCTCTCTCTCTCTCTGTCTGTCTGTCTGTCTGTCTGTCTGTCTGTCTCTCTCTCTCTCTCTCTCTCTCTCTCTCTCTCTCTCTCTCTCTCTCTCTCTCTCTCTCTCTCTCTCTCTCTGTCTGTCTGTCTGTCTGTCTGTCTGTCTCTCTCTCTCTCTCTCTCTCTCTCTCTCTCTCTCTCTCTCTCTCTCTCTCTCTCTCTCTCTCTCTCTCTCTCTCTCTCTCTCTCTCTCTCTCTCTCTCCTCCCTGCCTCCCCTCCCCAGAATAAGACTGTTGGGTTCATAATTAGTCAAGGTTTAAGTGCTCTGGTCACTGTGCGGGACGTTTCTTGACACTATGATGATGTCCCTGTGGGCGTGGGTGTCCCTGTGGGGGTGGGTGGGTCGTGGGCGTGAGTGAGCGAGTTGGCGGGAATATGCAAATTACCAAATCAATCGGCAACAGCGAAAATTTGAACTAGCACTGATCATAAATTCCCGGGAATCCGTCTGGTGGTAAAGTTTCCCCCAGAGACTGATCGGGATGTGAGATACCTGGTTGATACCTGGTTGATGGGGTTTTGGGAGTTCTTCTACTCCCCAAGAGCTTGGTCCACCAGGCTGTTGCTTGGAGCGGCCCGCAGACCCACATACCCATGTAGGCAGTCCCTAGAGCTCCAGGGACTGCCTGCCATCCCATCCCAAAGATGGGTCCCAGCTGAGAACTTGATCCTATTGGTGAATGTGAATTGTCGATTCCATGACCATCTCTCCATGCTGTGTCTACCACCATCTCATCCTATGATTCACGCGTTTAAACAGTAACACTGGGCAAGTATCTCGGAGATCAGGAACATGGCTATTCTCCAGATAAGAATCAGGAGATGGAAGAGACAATGGGAAGGTGTAGTCCTTCATATATGTCGCTGCTAGCGGGGTCGACGTTCAATCTCCGACCGTTCCATCCTAAATGGTTGGGCACCATTCCTTTCCCCCGTCCCATCCCAAATCTTTATCCTGACCCAAGTGCAATATAGTTGTAATTGCTTGAGCCTTTCTCCTGATAGTTCCCTTCCGTCCTCAGGTTCGAGCTCCAAGTGCTTTATAATATGTTCCAAGTGCTTTATAATCATACCTGCTTGGAGTGTTGCCCTCACCTATCTGACCCAAGCGACGCGATAAAGCAACAACCCAATTTCCCCAAGCAGTATATACCCAGGTCTTTTCTGATTCTACACTGATCCAATTTGCATCCTTTGTTTCGTGTCCTATTTTGTGTTTATATGTTTATCGCCTTATTAACAAAGCTTTTGTTATTCCTCAATTATGTCACCCCCTTTTCGCCTTTGTGAATAAATGCAAAGTAAGCTTTCTTAATCCCTCCTCGTAAGGGCGGCTTCTAATTCCTGGGATCAACTGTGTCATCCTTTGCACGCTTCTCAGTGGAGTTATGTCCCAGACGAGAGCCCTGGGGCCCTGAGTCCTACCTCCTTAGCTCTGCTCCATTCCACTTGCAACGGGTTCCCACTCTAAGCATAACTGGAATCAAGTCACTCTTTGTTTCCTGGGAAATAACCTCAGTCTGATCCTTCTCAGGATGAGTCTGCAATGCCACGCGGTTCTGACGAGTCTTAGGTGAGGCGCAGTGTCAAAGGCTTTGTTAAATTCCAGGTATATTATGTCGCAATCGTCTATCAACTCCCTTGACGGGCTATTCATGCCCGTGCCACCTCTTGGGTGGCGTAATTTTCATGTCAGTCTATCAATTCCTTCAAAACTGGCGGAAAATAATGAGTGAATGTTACACAGGAGCGTCATTGGTAAAACTGTCTTGCGTTACCTTTATTAATGTAGGTTTTTAAAATGAAAATTAATTGATTTTGCGAACATTGATTCAAGCAATTTTACCACAATAGATGTTAGGGTGTTTGATAGTCGATAAGTTAAGCTAGATGGTCGGTAGTTCGACTCGAGTGATCTGTTCTTTTTCTTAAAAATTTGCACCACATTCGCTTCCTGGCCTGAGGTTATGTTCATTCCATCCACCGGCCGACCCCACAGACACATTCGTCAGTATTAACATGCCGTTCATTCAAAATAGGAATTTTCTTAAATATAAATATTTCACATTAACATTTTGTGCATATTTAGGTAAGGTTAGGTGTCTAGGCTCTCTTGGCAATTATTTACAATTGCAGTACGTGGGTGAAGCATTTACAGATTTGCGATTCGAACAATACGTCGTCAGTGAAGCACTGTTAGAGATATGTTCGAACGTCATCAGTCGACTTGCGTGTAAAGCTTTTTCATTCATAAACGGGGTTATGGTAGCTGTATGCACTAAATTTTTTGTCTTTGTTAATGAGGATGGACAGCATTCGCCAGCCTCCGTGACTTTGATACTCAGCTCGAGTCTTCAAGAACCAAATACTTCGTCTGGTCCTGGAACTTGTTGGGCTTTGATTATGTAATGCTTTTTTTAGTGGCCACGTGTCAGGTTTGACCATCTTGGTGTGTGTGTATGTGTGTAAGGCCTTGCTGCGGGTAGTGAATGACCTCTGGCATGAGTTCAGGAGGGTAGGTTGTGTGGTGTCGTTGGTAACTACTCGGGGCCAAAATGCGCACGACGTCATGTATGGTACAGGAGCTGGAGGCCGCGTCTCCGTAGACGGTGGTAACGTCTCTATAGACGGTGCTAGCGGAAGTTACGTCACCCAAAGGAAAGGCACGGGATAGGCTGGCTACGTGAGAGAGAGTGCGAGGAAGGACCGCGGCGGAAGGCGTTCCAGAAGGTGCGTTTGGCGGGAACGCATCGCTCTGTTGTGAACTCCTTCTGCAAGTGTAAGGGCGCTGGCCCACACTTGCTCTCGTGCTTCAGAGGTGCCCAGTAAGACTAGGAGTCAAAGGAGAAGTGACACTGCCCCCTCGCCTGGTGTGCGCGCGTCCGTACTCAGCTGTTCCTGCTGGGCCGAGCTTCAGCTCCCGGGGCCGTCTCACAGCTCATGGTTGTCTACTGCGAGTGTTCATGTATATATTAGTTGTATCGGTGATTAAATAAAAAAAAGCAAATGTTCCTAGATATATATAAATATACTTCACAATGGTAATTCTTGTAATACATAAGAGTTTATGATGTATTTGTGCCTAAAACTCGTCAAAATTGCTAGATTTTCTAAGGAATTGTTCTAAGACGTGTTCTAATCTCTAAGACTTGTGTAGAATGCTCTGTTGGTAGCTTGCTCCTACAGCTGGATGTTTCGCCTAATTACTTTACCTTCATAAATCTTTACCGTGTTCATTGTTGGAGGAACATTCACTAACCTTTCCCTCGCCGTGTGAACACGTCCTATGAACAGAACCTGTGAACACGGCCTGTGAACAGGACCTGTGAACAGGACCTGTGAACACGGCCTGTGAACAGAACCTGTGAACAGGGCCTGTGAACACGGCTGGGCTCACAGCAACAGCCGTGTCTGTGTCTGAGAGCCTTTTCAATAGGTGACTAGGGTGGGGGGTGAGCCCGCCTCCGTAACCCCGCGGATCTTCGCTTCACCTTTTAGTATTTCCATGGACCAGCTTTGGCGTGTAAGGTTAAAACGCTTACAGCGGCGACAAATGCGACTTGAGAGTGCCAGAGGATTAAATGTCAAAGGCTAAATGTGAGAGGATCAGCGCCTTGTGGCCACCGCCAGACTTGTTACGCGTGGTAAATGGTCTTCGGCAGGTAGCGACCTTGACCGCTGAGGCTGAGGTAGTCTGTCTGGTGGCGCTTGTGAAGTTGTCTGGTTGCTTGTGAGGTTGTCTGGTTGCTTGTGAGGTTGTCTGGTTGCTTGTGAGGTTGTCTGGTTGCTTGTGAGGTTGTCTGGTTGCTTGTGAGGTTGTCTGGTTGCTTGTGAGGTTGTCTGGTTGCTTGTGAGGTTGTCTGGTTGCTTGTGAGGTTGTCTGGTTGCTTGTGAGGTTGTCTGGTTGCTTGTGAGGTTGTCTGGTTGCTTGTGAGGTTGTCTGGTTGCTTGTGAGGTTGTCTGGTTGTGTGAGGTTGTCTGGTTGCTTGTGAGGTTGTCTGGTTGCTTGTGAGGTTGTCTGGTTGCTTGTGAGGTTGTCTGGTTGCTTGTGAGGTTGTCTGGTTGCTTGTGAGGTTGTCTGGTTGCTTGCGAGGTTGTCTGGTTGCTTGTGAGGTTGTCTGGTTGCTTGTGAGGTTGTCTGGTTGCTTGTGAGGTTGTCTGAGGTTGTCTGGTTGCTTGTGAGGTTGTCTGGTTGCTTGTGAGGTTGTCTGGTTGCTTGTGAGGTTGTCTGGTTGCTTGTGAGGTTGTCTGGTTGCTTGTGAGGTTGTCTGGTTGCTTGTGAGGTTGTCTGGTTGCTTGTGAGGTTGTCTGGTTGCTTGTGAGGTTGTCTGGTTGCTTGTGAGGTTGTCTGGTTGCTTGTGAGGTTGTCTGGTTGCTTGTGAGGTTGTCTGGTTGCTTGTGAGGTTGTCTGGTTGCTTGTGAGGTTGTCTGGTTGCTTGTGAGGTTGTCTGGTTGCTTGCGAGGTTGTCTGGTTGCTTGTGAGGTTGTCTGGTTGCTTGTGAGGTTGTCTGGTTGCTTGTGAGGTTGTCTGGTTGCTTGCGAGGTTGTCTGGTTGCTTGTGAAGTTGTCTGGTTGCTTGTGAGGTTGTCTGGTTGCTTGTGAGGTTGTCTGGTTGCTTGTGAGGTTGTCTGGTAGCTTGTGAGGTTGTCTGGTTGCTTGTGAGGTTGTCTGGTTGCTTGTGAGGTTGTCTGGTTGCTTGTGAGGTTGTCTGGTTGCTTGTGAGGTTGTCTGGTTGCTTGCGAGGTTGTCTGGTTGCTTGTGAGGTTGTCTGGTTGCTTGTGAGGTTGTCTGGTTGCTTGTGAGGTTGTCTGGTTGCTTGCGAGGTTGTCTGGTTGCTTGTGAAGTTGTCTGGTTGCTTGTGAGGTTGTCTGGTTGCTTGTGAGGTTGTCTGGTTGCTTGTGAGGTTGTCTGGTTGCTTGTGTGGTAGCTTGTGGTGGCTTGAAACCTTTTAGCTAGTCTGGTTGTAAATGGTTCTTTGGGGACGTTCGGTGACATAGCTTCAGGCGAGTGGTCGGACAGAGCTGCCGAACGTTCCATTATTCCGAGGATCATCGTCCTCGCGGCCCGGTCTCTGACCAGGCCTCTTGGTTGGTGGTCTGGTCAACCAGACTGTTTGACGCGGCTACTCGCTTGGTGAAGCCGGCAAAATAATATAGTTACTTGATGTGTTCAATGAGTTAGGCGTTACTGATACCTGCTTGGTAGCAAGGAAGAGTTACTGGGTATAGTTGAAGGAGGAGTCTGGCTGACTTTTTTTAACTGTGGTCAACTTAGAGTTGTCCTGCTCTCGAAGCCTCAGCTGGTGCGCGGCTTCCCCTTATGCTTGGTGGATCCGTGAAGCTGTTTGTGTTAGAAACTTGTCAAGTTGCATCTTGAAGAGTTCAGCCTTCGATCCGGCACAAATAGATCTGAATCATCTTATCTCGCAAATCTTGGGAATTCTCCTCACCTCTCTCCTCACCTCTCTCCTTGCTGGCGCTCCTCTAACTCAGGGAGAAGCCTGGTTGCAAATATTTGAACTTAATGAAGGTTTGTATGTGCTTATGAAGGTGTGAGGTTTGTGCTAGTAGTGAATGTTGTTATATTGAGCATAACAAGAGGTGTACCATGCCAGAGGGATTCCTTGTTGACTCAGTCACTATATTCGGCTGCCTGCAACAGTTTGTTGCTATTGATTTATTTTATGATGAAGATAGCCTTAAGATAGGAGATAGAGATTATTAGTAGAGAGGAGATAGACTATCGAGCGATATACCGTGTGGTCCTTCCTGTTGGGCTACACAACCTACCCCTTTCAGTTTTGATTTTCTTGTAGAGTCAAAAAAATATTGCAAACCTGACTCAAAGGTTTTGGATGAATCAGCGAGCTCTTGTTGCCGTGAATCAATGAGCTCTATTTGTAGTGAATCAGTGAGCTCTTGTTACAGTGAATCAATGAGCTCTTGTTGCAGTGAATCAATGAGCTCTTGTTACAGTGAATCAATGAGCTCTTGTTGCAGTGAATCAATGAGCTCTATTTGTAATGAATCAGTGAGCTCTTGTTACAGTGAATCAATGAGCTCTATTTGTAATGAATCAGTGAGCTCTTGTTGCAGTGAATCAATGAGCTCTTGTTGCAGTGAATCAATGAGCTCTTGTTGCAGTGAATCAATGAGCTCTTGTTGCAGTGAATCAATGAGCTCTTGTTGCAGTGAATCAATGAGCTCTTGTTGCAATGAATCATGAGCTCTTGTTACAGTGAATCAATGAGCTCTTGTTACAGTGAATCATGAGCTCTCGTTCTCCCGTAATTGTATTTCTAGGATTGTACCGGTGAGGGGGGGGAGAGGGAGGGGGGAGGTAATATTTTTATCGGGATATAGTATAAATGCGTATTTATATGCTTTTGTGAACAGTGGGTTTGGAGGCTCGCAACATTGCTTTGTTGCTGCCTTGCGCCAGATGCAAGATGAAGGGCCGAGCCATCACTTTATTAAGTAGCACTTGTATCTGAGTTGAGCCAGACTGAGGGCAGGCCGCTGGAGGCGGTGGTAGGCTAGCATGACGAAACGCATCCATCAATCTCCACCAATCAATCAATCAATTTCCGCATCAATCTCCATCCGCCGGGATGGAGATTGATGCGGAAATTGTGGGGGAAACTGGTGTACAATAGAGCTTCCGTCCAGGGGTGAGCGGTCTATTGTGTGTGTCCTGCTGCATGGCCTTTCACCTGTGTAAGGTGTTGCACATGCGCACACACAGGGGACTCTATGGCTGAGTGGACAGCGCTCGGGGCTCGTAATCCTAGGGTTACCGGGGATCGATCCCCGGCCCATGGCGGAAACAAATGGGCAGAGTTTTTTTTTCACCCTGATGGGTCTGTTCACCTAGCAGTAATTAAGTACCTGGGAGTTAGACAGCTGCTACGGGCTGCTTCCTGTGTGTGTGCTAATTCAGGTATGTTGGAGAAGGAAATACGAGGAAAAAGCAGGAGTTAAGTCGTGACTTTATCTCGGAGGGAGGAAGATGCTGGACGCCACCAAGACCAGCAGTATAGAGAGCTCTGTGGAGCCCTGTGGAGCTCTGTGGAGCCCTGTGGAGCCCTGTGGAGCTCTGAGGAGCCCTGTGGCGGTGCCTGAGGCCTGACAGGGGTGAGAACCCCCCCCCCCAGGGTGGGGCAGTCACCAGCGTGGGAACCTCCCCCCTACACTCTACACCCCCTCCCCCCCACCCCTTGGATATTACCCGGTTTTATTCTTTTTATTTATACATACAAGAGTTGTTACATTTTTATAAAGCCACTTCCAGCATTTTGGGCAGGTCCTTCTTGAGGTTATCTTGAGATGATTTCGGGGCTTAGCGTCCCCGCGGCCCGGTCCTCGACCAGGCCGCCTTTTTATTACCCCCAGGAAGCAGCCCGTAGCAGCTGTCTAACTCCCAGGTACCTATTTCCTTAATCCTAATTTTTCTTCGGAATACGACCCGCTAAATCTTAAAACAAAAAGGTTCCTATTCACTGCTGGGTGACTAGAGGCGTACAGTTAAGGATTGGTGCCCAGTCAATCCTCCCCAGGATATGAATCTAGGCCAAAGCGCTTGCGAAGTGCCGGACGAGTGCTTTACCACCGCGCCACGGGGACTTGTTCCTTGTGTTTATATTCCTTCACTAATGTTTCCTCGGCCAGTCACACGACAAAACTACGACGTTGCTACAACGAACTTATAACACCACCTAACAAGTAGTAACAAGTAACTTAACACCTTGTAACAACCTAACACCTCATTAAAAAGTTTGTAACAAGATGTAACAGCTTTTTAACGAGTTGTAACAAGGTAACAATAGGGACTTACGGAGTGTGCGTGAAGGGTTATACCTCACTCATTACTCACACCTCATCTTCCAAAGACGTGTGAGGTACAGCGTGTGGAGTCGTGCTGCTCGTAGATAAGATGGGTTTATCTACCCTCACTACCCGTACTTCCCTCACTCTCTACTGTATTTTTCCATCTACGCACTTTGACTGGACGGTAGAGCGACAGTCTCGCTTCTTGCAGGTCGGCGTTCAATCCCCGACCGTCCACAAGTGGTTGGGCACCATTCGTTTTCCCCCCGTCCCATCCCAAATCCTTATCCTGACCCCTTCCCAGTGCAATATAGTCGTAATGGCTTGGCGCTTTCCTCTAATAGTTTATTCTCTTTCTCTCTCTCTCTCTCCATCTACACACAATACGTGTCCATGTAGAATTATGTGTAGATAATGTGGACTTGTATAATTTCTCAGGATCTTTTGAGACGATGATGGTGGCCTCTTTTAGCATCTTTCAAGAGACAATTTTTGGTTAAATCAGTTTCTACTCCATGTGTGCGTCCCTGGCTATAGTCATTGTTAAGGTACTTTAAAATGCAAGGGGAAAATATTCCTGGGATAATGAGAGGGAAGTGACCGCAAGCGGCGGATATGTAAGATTAGTGAGGGGAGAGCATCGCTGTGTTGATCTTCCCACGGTCGCCAAGTGTGTTCCGGCAGCAGTAAATGTTGCACCGTCCGGTCGCTGCTCCCTCCACGCACGCACGTGTGCGTGCAGAAGACTGAAGAGATAGGGGGACACATGATCACCACATAAAAGATTCTCAGAGGAATTGATAGGTTAGAGACCGTTTGTTTAACATAGAGGGCACACGCACTAGGGGACACAGGTGGTAATTGAGTACCCAAATAAGACATTAGAAATAACTTTTATAGTGTTAGAGTAGTAGACAAATGGAATGTATTAGGCAGTGATGGGGTGGAGGCTGACTCCATACACAGTTTCAAATGTAGATATGATAGAGCCCAATAGGCTCAGGAATCTGTACACAGGTTGATTGACAGTTGAGAGGCGGGACCAAAGAGTCATAGCTCAACCCCTGCAAACACAACTAGGGGAATACTCCACTCATCACCTGGGAAAACCTCTCTCTCACAGCAAGGAACAGTAGAGATATAAATGAACAAAACATGCCAGGAAGAACTTTTTCAGTGTTAATTGTTGTCAATAAGTGGAATAACCAGAGCGTACAAGTCGCTAAAACTATCTCGATACAAACATTTTAATGTAAATATGATAACGTTAGAAATGAGTGAGAGCATTAATGCAAGGCAGAGCTTGCAGTCACATGCATAAGGTAACACATGGCAGAGAAAATACTGTTGGAATCGGGACCTGGCAGGTGATATTACCCCCCAGTCTGTCACCTGACGCCCACATCAAAGAATATAACCTGACGCCCACATCAAAGAATATCACCTGACGCCCACATCAAAGAATATCACCTGACGCCCACATCAAATAATATCACCAGACGCCCACATCAGAGAATATCACCAGACGCCCACATCAGAGAATATCACCAGACGCCCACATCAGAGAATATCACCAGGTGCATAGTAAAAGCCGGTTAATAGCAACATGAACAAAGAGAAGATTATGATTATGTAGACTGTTTATATCGGACCGGTACAGGAGTATGCGGCACCTGCGTGGAGACCTTACCTTGAGCACAACACCAAGCTGGAGTAAGGTCATAGGTATACCACCAGACTTGGTCCCGGAACTGAGAGGTATGAACTACGAGATTTAAGAGATTATGAACTACGACTGTAAGATTTAAAGTATATGTTACTGGACAACCCGTTCTCGCACTTGCTTATAGTCAATTTCTTGATTATGAATAAGTGCATATGTGACATACTAATTTATTGTGAATATTTGAGTTTACCTTGAAAAGTAGAATAGAAAACCCACAACCTAACCTAACCTTCTTAGTATGTTAAGATATTACAATTAGTACTGAACCTATACCTATATTGATATTACAGTTTTATAAAAATAATAAAACAAAACTAAAATATTTAAATAAATTGTAAAGTAACTCAGGATATTGTCAAATTTTGTATAAAACCTTTATTGTTTAATAAAACTGAGAGAAAAAGTTAGTACCTTGAAAAAAGTATGGCTTGGAATATGTCACATAAATACTTATTTATAAGCCAAATAGTGATTTTAAGCAATAA